TATTTAGTACCATGTTTTTGTCATTTTTGTGCTTTTGGTTGTGATTTTGCTGTTTAAACTGTATCCCAGTTATAGTGCTGAAGTGCTGTCTAGAGTTCTTCAGTGCAAGAAGGCTGGGGTATGCGTTATAGAGGAAATGCGTGTATTAGATAAGCTTTGTTCAGGTATGAGTTTTAGTGTTATGGCTGTGAGTTTAATGTTAATGAATTGACAGTATGGTACATCCAGGAAAAGTGAGAGGAAATTCACTGATGTGCAAGCCTGTTCTGGAAAGTATTAAAGTAACACTGACAGTGAATGATAAGGCTATGGAAAAGGTAGAAAGGGGCTAAATTTGTGGATTCATGAAATGAGAAGGGATTTTTTTGGGGGGGGATATCAATCTTTTTTTTTCTTTTTTTCTTTATTGATTAAGGTATTACACATGTGTCTTTATCCCCCCATTGCTCCCCCACCCCCCTGGTGTCTGTGTCCATTGGTTAGGCTTATATGCGTGCATATAAGTCCTTTGGTTGATCTCTCCCCCTTACCCTCCCCCTACCCTATCTTCCCTCTGAGGTTTGATGGTCTGATCAATGCTTCTCTAGATCCAGAGACAGACCGTCAAACCTCAGAGGGAGAAGGGATTTTTAAAAGTATAGTAGGAAAATATTGTTGTGAGGCTTAAAGCCAAAGAAAAATAAAGTCACATTACCCAAGGTCAGGAAAATATTGAGCCTTTCTTGATTATTGTTTAATTATAAAGAAATATTGCAGAAAATTATTTGTAAGAAATATATGTTAAGTAAGGCATCTTCAAACAGAAACACACATAAAACAAAGTTATATATTGATTGGTTGACAAAAATGTTGTGACTACAGGCTTGTAGAAACCTACCTTTGTATTTCTGCTAGGAGCAGTGGCTTAGTATTTGCTAATTGAGTGTTCATGGTGACTTTACAGAACAGGAATGCCATGAATAATGATAATCTACTTATGTTACTGTTTCTGTTCCAACTGTGTCTTCATATCAGCAACTCTGTTGATCAAGTGAACATTTTGTGCAGGAAATCAGGTAGAGAGAGGCATAATTTCTTAGAATCTTGAGTCTCAGCTCCGCACATTGTGGACATGGGTATGTTACAGGATTCCAGGGCAGGAGGAATAGGGAAACTGAAACAGGAAAGTTAAAACAAGGCCAAACAGTGTGGGCAATTTGCAGCCAGCTTATAACTAACAAACCATTATTTTCCCCAGCCAAGGACCCAGAGAAAATGGTTAAAAAACTTCCCTAATGAGAAAATGCAGAAAGGGAAAGGAAAAGGGGAAAGGAAAAAAGGGCTGTTTTACTCCCTAAGCAGAAAAGCCAGCAGTCTCAAGGCTTGGCAAGATAAAGTTGCCAGGCGCATCTCATGAATTCTGGGACCATCACAACAAAGTAAAAAAAAAAAAAAAAAAAAAAAAAATTCTCAAAGTAATTGAGAATTAATCTATACCAGCAGAGGAATTTTTAAGCCTATAGACAGGAGGGTATATAATACTTCAGACCCGCACCCAACTTGTTCTTCAGATTAGCTGACAGCCGTCTGTGCTTCATAAGCCAGATGTATAGGTTTGCTTGCTTTGCTTTGTAATAAAGATGCATGCTTGTTAATTGTTTTTTTTAAAATATATTTTATTGATTTTTTTACAGAGAGGAAGGGAGAGAGATAGAGAGTTAGAAACATCGATGAGAGAGAAACATCGATCAGCTGCCTCCTGCACATCTCCTACTGGGGATGTGCCCGCAACCAACGTACATGCCCTTGACTGGAATCGAACCTGGGACCTTTCAGTCCGCAGGCCGACGCTCTATCCACTGAGCCAAACCGGTTTCAGCAATTGTTTTAATAAATTGTTTTTTCACAATGCAGACAAGGTCTCTTGTATAAATTCATTTGTATGAGAAGATAAGGATTGAGGCTGGAGACAGGCCTCTCCACTGACTCAGGGGGTTGTCCTGTCTGGTAACACCTCTCTGGAGTCAGTGAGAGGTGACTGTAACATTTTGTACTGTGACTCAGATCAAGGAGAGTGATTAGGATCTGAGGTGGATTGCTACAAGTTAATTGCTGCACAGTTGTCCTTTGTTCTCTCAGATGGATTGCAGTGAGTTCAGCCCATTTGGGGATTTCTTTTTCTGTTTTGCCACTGGGTTTTAAGTGGTTTCAGCATAACAGAAATTTGCAAAACATACCAGGCCTGTGCTAGGGGCAGAAAATTGAGAATAAAACCAGATGAGTGCTTAGGTCCCTGCCCAAGCTCCGAAGATCAATGAGGCAAATTCCTCCCTCTGGTTTGAGACTCTCCAATGTTGTTAAGAGAGTAAGGACCTTGCAGAGGTTTCTGGAGTTGAACCCTAAGATGTGTAGGGGCCTCATAGGGACCCCAGAATACAACTGTAATTAAACTTTGACCCATCCAGGGGGTGCACATAAGGGCGGGTTCCCCAGCACCCCGGGTCCTCCTGGCTGTTCTAGACAGCTGGGGAGAGAATCCGAGGCACGCAATAGAGTGATGACCAGCAGTTTCACCGCCTCTGGGAGCTCTCTTCACAAGCAGCACACTTTGACCCACTACATAAAATCCTTAGGTTTTCTGCCTCTGGAGCATGGCTGGAAGAAGAATAAATTTGTCATCAATCATCTGTAAGTCTGCTACACCTTTCTGTCCCCCTTATAGATCCAAGGTAACCCATTCCCTTATTAGGCAGGACACCTTGCCTAGTCTAAAGGGGAGGGCATGCCTCCCTTTGAAAGAGGAAGGAAAAGGGAAAGCTCTTTTAAACTAAAGGCTTGAAATGCCCAAGCCAAGTGTTTTAAAAGAAACAAACTAAGAAAGACTATGAACGTTACAAAGGGTATATATAAGTCACCAAAAATCCATGTAAATCACAGAAGGTCTGTGCAAGTTAAAAAAAAAGTAATATATGAAAAGAGGAAAAAAAGCTCTCTTTAATTTTTTTCAAAACCAATTGTTATTTCCCCACAAAAGCCCTGGGTAATATAGCCCTTTACAAAGAAAAATTTGGTTGGTTTTCTGAGGACTCTAGCAAATTCACACAGGGTTTTAGTCACTTGACACTGACTTTTAACTTAGAGTAATTTACAAATTATTCTTCTACTGCTGCTCTATAAATGAAGAGCAACACATAAGAGACATTGCAAGGGCTTATACTAATAAATTAACTGGCCATCATAGTCAATACCACATATACAGACCAGGGGGAGATACAATCCCAAATCAAAAGCCTAATTACTAGTAGATATATCAAAGTAAAAAAAATAAGGACAAAAGGAAAGGAACCACCAGACTGATATAGCTAAGGAAAAAGGACTCTAGCCAAGCTATGCCAAAACCTCAAAGTCCTAGGTGTCTACATTACCCATAGGTCTCATGAAAATAAAAACTACACCTAAAGGAAAAATTACAAGGTTACTTCTCTGAAATTAAACCTATTTCTTATAAGTAACCACGGGAACTTCAACCTGAGGCCTACTCTTGTGAACCCATTGAGGACCTCAAGCTCATTTTCAAGAAACAAAAACGTATTGCAGATAAGTAATGTAATGGCTGGGCATCCATATAATTGTCCACTAACCTTCTTGTCAAATTTGTCACTTCTAGGAAGCAATAACTCCATGTCAAGACAATGATGCTTCAGGGATTCTAGCCCATTCCCTACTTTAAAAGAATCAACAAACAGCCTCTCTGTTCTAGTCTCAAGTCCCATTCCTTTATCTCCGTTAGGTCAGATAGGAAGAGGCTTCCATACCCTAACTCAGGCAGGCTCTACACCCCTTAACAGCATGAAGTAATTACAGAAGACAGACCTCCTTCCCTCATCAACCTTAAAAGATTTTAGGGATGGAAGTCTCTGATGGGGGAAATATGTTACAGGATTTCAGGGCAGGAGAAATAGGGAAACTGAAACAGGAAAGTTAAAACAAGGCCAAACAGTGTGGGCAATTTGCAGCCAGTTTGTAACTAACAAACCATTATCTTCCCCAGCCAAGGACACAGAGAAAATGGTTAAAAACAACAACAACAACCTCCCTAATGAAAAAATGCAGAAAGGAAAAAGGAAAGGGGAAAGGAAAAAAAAGGTTCGTATTACTTCCTAAGCAGAGAAGCCAGCAGTCTAAAGGCTTGGTAAAATAAAGTTGCCAGGAGCTTTTCATGAATTCTGGGAAAGCCACAACAAAGTAAAAAAAAAAAAAAAAAAAAAAAAAGGGACATTGAGAATTAATCTGTACCAAAATAGTCATCACAGGAATATTGAAGCCTATAGACAGGAGAGTATATAATGCCTCAGACCCCTACTCAACTTGCTCTTCAGATGAGTTGAGAGCCTGTCTGCACTTCATAAGCCAGATGTATAGATTTGCTTGTTTTCTCAATAAAGATGCATGCTTTAATTAATTTTTTCACAATGCAGTCAAGGTCTCTCATATAAATTCATTTACATGAGAAGATAAGGATCGAGGTTGGGGCAACCCCCTCTACTGACTCAGGGGGCTGTCCTGCCCAGTAACACCTCTTTGGTGTTGGTGAGAGGTGCCTATAACCAGTAGTAGGCATATAGGTGGCCTGTTGGGTGGGATTGTTAGAATGGAAGTAATCACTGTCTTTACAACAATGTGTAGAACAGTCAGCCTAAGGCATGTCAAAAGTCACACCTTGTCAGTTGTTTAAACTCAGTGGTTTGCAACATTAAGCCCTAACCGGTTTGCCTCAGTGGATAGAGCATCGGCCTGCGGACTGAAAGGTCCCAGGTTCGATTCTGGTCAAGGGCATGTACCTTGGTTGCGGGCACATCCCCAGTAGGTGGTGTGCAGGAGGCAGCTGATCGATGTTTCTCTCCCATGGATGTTTCTAACTCTCTATCCCTCACCCTTCCTCTCTGTAAAAAAATCAATAAAATATATTTTTAAAAAAATAAAATAAAATGCTGTAACTCCTGGTATTTATTTCATAACTCTTATGCAGCAAAACACATTGGTTTTGTTTTTGTGTCAGCAAGTTGCCCTCCTGGTTGTGGTCTAATTTATCCCTTTACATTGTATCCCTGAGAAAAAGTCATAAGATCAGTTTTTCTATGGCCAAATATCGAAAGTAGAACAGTTTCATACTAAGAATTTCATGAAGTATGTTCATAATCAAGTTTGAATTCATATGATCCAGGGTCCTAGGACAACATTTATAGCATGTGGCCAATAGAATGTTCTCTTCTCTCACATAGAAGAAGAAAAGTGGCAATTGAAATTCCTCCTTTGCCTATGAAAGCAAAACTTTCAAGTAATGGGAGTGTGGAAGGTGAGCAGAAAGCAGAGTTTGGATAATTTCTATGGGGACAGATGATCTTTGTGCCTGATGTCCCTTTTGCAGCCTGTAGCTGAGATGCATGAGCTCCTACTTGCTTAACAAGGGGATACCTTTGTTATCTTTTAGCAGTGAGGCTCAGAACAAGTGCAAGGGAAGGAAAAAGGTGCAGAGTCCAATGTGGTTATTCTTTATGGTCTAGTGGTGCAGCCATCAGTCACTTCATCAAGTCTCAATTTCTGGTCCACTCAGTGAAAGTGAGATATAGTTAGAGTTCACTGACTCTTTCATAAAAACACTATAAATGTATTTGTATAATTTCCAGATTTAAGAACAATAAAATATAAAACAAATCCTTACCCATCACTTCTTTAATGCCTTACATACAGGTTAAGGCACCCAGTGAACCTCTGTTGCTAACCACATCCTTACAGTTGGGAGAGATATCAAGACAGCTATCTTAGAGATAAATCTTCCTCATGAAGCAGGTTGTCTACTTATAGGATCAATATGAAAATCAATGTATATTTTATAGAAAATACTTAATGTATATAAATTTATTTGCTTTGGCAATTTATTTATAATTGATGATGAATACCAACAATTGAGGTGCAAATACATGAGGTATAAATATAATATTAAAATGCAATATTGTATTTTATTTCCATTAGCAAAATAACTATGAGTAAAATATTGTGGTATTTGACCAGCAAGTTTGATGCATCTTTCCCCTCCTTTTTCTTTTTCTTAGATGCACTGTGCTGTTATGCAGCAGTGATGTAATTAGTGTGTAAGTAAAAATTTTTAAAAAGCCAGGAAATTTGAAGAGAAGGGGAGCCAGAAATACAATAATTTTTGTTTTTATTCTATTTTAAGTATCTTCTAGGTCCTTGCTTCTCAGAGTGTGGTCTTTGGGCCAGCAGCCTGGGCCTATTAGAAATGCAGAATCACAGGCCCACCCAGACCGCCTGGATCAGAATTTTCATTTGAACAGGATCCCCAGATGATCTGTGTGCATGCTACAGTTAGTGATAGAATACCATTTATCCTTGTGTGCCTAGCACAGTTTCCAAACATGTAGGGTCCCATTTCTGGAATAGGACCCATGTTAAACTAGGTTAAACTTCTCTAATGATCTTGTACATGCCCATTAAAGTCATCCAGCACATATGGTTAAATTTAAGATGTATGGCAGAAGTGATTTTGTTTTGCTCACAGGGCATTGCCCAATGGAAAATTATGGCTTTGCTGCCACCTTCTAGGTAGTCAAAGAAACAAAAAACTCCTAAATCATAATTCAAACAGTATGATTTTTCTTGCTCCACACAGAACTCATATATAACATTTTAATTCCTCTCAATAAAATAATTGCACAATACTGATAAAAGAAAACATTACATAAATGCATACAATACAAAAAGGGGAAAACATTTTTCTTCTTTTTTTTCCTCTAACACCAGTTGCTAAATGATGATACCAATCTCTATTTAGAGATCTGTCTATCTCAAACCAAACACAATAAATTATCTTTCTCTCTACAGTTGTTGAGTTATAATTAAGAAAAATTAAACCCATTAACAATTGATTTTAGGAGAGTCAACTTGCTTAGTCTATATAATAATAAATAGGGTCAAATGCACAGGTAGCTTGACTGGCTAATGAAGAAACATGGGTTTAACAAACCTGTTTATATTTTCTAAAATTAATTGAAGAACCTAGTTTTGGTCTTATGTTAGTTTAAAACCCTGTCTTTCACATTGGAAAACTTAAATGAATTATGTCTTAAGAGCATCATACATAACAAAATAAGAATTCCCTGAAGCTATAATTAATGGTCCAGGACTCTTAGATGACCATCATCTTCCTTTGTCTAGTGTCCAGAGTTAAATTCAGTGCAATACATTGGTAAGAAAATGCCAATTACCTGTGACCAAATAGGCCACTGGTCAAATAGAATGACATTTAAGAACATTATGAAATGTATCTATGAAAACATCATAGAACAAAGGGGCTCCCTTTGGCTATGTATATGCAAAGGCTGTTCTAGTCAGCTCTAGTTAGCAGGAAAATAGGGGTTCTGTTCAGTCTCTCACTGACTCCAAAGGTTCTAGGGGTCTGATATTTCACCGAATCTGCACCGGTGGGGCCAAGGAGCAACTGGGAATCTAGCTGTAAATTTGATAGTGACTTCTCACCACTTCTTTGCTTTAAAAAGGAGAACACATTGTTTTCCTTGCTTTATCCAGCACTCCACTCTCAGTTTTTGAATAACAAAAGCGACCTGACAACACATAAGAACCTTTTAATGTTGTTTGCTTTTGGTTAGTACATCTTTGGTTGAACATCAGGGCAGACTGACAGGCTACACATTTTCACACCTTCCTGTCAGCAGCAGCTCTGCTCAGTTTACAGGATGGTGGGGCCCAGAGCAACTTGGAAAGAACCATGTAAGGAAGGGACTCAGCAAGGCAGGTGTTTCAAAATATGCAATTATATATAAAATTGATATTTTACATATATATAGTAAAGGGAAAGATATATACACTTTACATATGCTATACATACATTTAGTTACAGTTAAGAATATGCTTCTTAGAAGCTTTTAAATAGCAAATTAGGCAATGCACAAAGAAAACCCATTTAATTTTAAGTAACATAAATGTTTTCATTTTTAAAAATATTATATTAGTAGGACTATAGCCATCTCCAGGAAGGCTAGGAAAGTTCGCAGAAACTCTTGCATCTTCAACATTCTGACTTCTCAGTGTTTCCATTTTGAGCAGGAACCATGTCAATCAGCTGTCCTCTCTCACTTTCTCCTGAGTGCACTCTCTCCCACAGGTGTTTCCTTTCACTTCCCCTTCCCTGAGCTTAATGTCACACTGGGGAAAACTCAGATTTTAGTTTCTGGACCCTCAGCAATGAGGGGCTGGAAAGAGTTTCTAATCCTGGCAACTTCCACTGCACACAGATGTCCAAAGCCTTTATTGTACCATTCTGGGGAGTGACCTCTGTGGGGACAAAAATCAGAAAGGAATTGGGAAAGTCTTTTTCTACAACATAACAATTTGTCATGGTAGACAGGGCTGTCCTTGTGCCCTGATCATCAGTACATTTGCATACAACCTGGGTCTGAGAACCCAGTGTTCAGACTATCTTTTCAGTACTTACTGGGCGCTTTAAAATGATATCATCTCCTCTGAGAAGATTCAGACTGAATTCTAGAATTGACTGAGAGAACTCAGTTTGTATCTACCAGACCAAGAACGTGGTTCAGCATCATGAATGCCTTGAAAAGTTTGGATTTAAGTTAGTTTCTTTTGAAAGGAGGGCACTGGAAGGAGCAGCAGAAGGAGGCAGACATAAAGGAAACGCCAGAGAGGAGACTCATGTTATGTGCTGAACTCCGGTGTTTGTGTTTGCTCTGTGCGAGAAGCATGGACACAGGAGTGAGGACAGAACTGAAAACAGAGAAGAGCAAAGGGCCCCAGGAAAATGACAGAATCTCAGGAAAGGTGGAGAAGAGGAACAGAGAGTGGGAGGCATACATAATCATCTACAAAAGCATGTTAATGGCTATTAGGGGGGAAAAAAGTATAGTTAAATAAGAAATCAGGATGACAGACAGGCAAATGTGCCACTTGAGCTGAGACTCCAACACCATGCCTGCCCTCCTAAGGGGTTCACACTTACTTCAGGTCTATCCTGCAGATGTGGGTCAGTCTTGACTTGCCGGAACCACATGGTTCTATTAAGTACTGAGAATCCATCACTATGGCTCGCACACCGCCCATGAGCTGAGCTTCCTCGTGCTCCACAGAGAGGGAGACCAGGGTACACATTCCTTTGGGCAAATCAGTCTTCCAGGTCCTGTAGTGAAACAACCCACACATCAGAGTTATGGCTAAGAGAGAAAGACTTGAACACAGTGCTGAGGTTTACACATATTTTCCTGCTCAAATTCCAATCCTAGTTACTTGGATTAAGCCAATGACTCCCATAAGTTTGGGTAAAGTTTATACAGTGCAGTTCAAAGCAAGGGTCTCAGCCCAAGAACCCAGAGACCAGAAATGGCCATGCAGCACCCAGACCTTTGGAAACAAACTGAGGCTGCAGAGGTCTTACAGATTTGGAATTAGGAAGCACTCATTCAACTCATTCAGTAAACATCTAATGACCACAGAGATGTGCCAAGCTCTGAGAAGCCACCAAGGGCACAGAGATACACAGTCCAGGAGGGGAAGCAGAAATACAAAGATAATTCTAAAACATCATGGTCAGTGTAGTGACATGGACATGCACAGAGCACTCTGGGATCATGTGGAAGGGAAGGGGAGGCACACAGGGAAGCCTTCCTAGAGGAGATAATGCTCAATTCAAGTCTTAAAGAATAAATGAACTGGCAATGCTCAGCTTGAAGAAAACTAGACTATGTGAACTGCTATCTTTCTATAAATACCTGAGTGGCTCTTGAATAGGAGAAGAAATAAATACAGTTGATTTGACTTTAGAGAAGCCCTGTCTCACAATGTGTGCTTTCCAAAAACGGAGTGGGCTCTATGAGGAGGTAGTGAGTTCCTGTTATTGAAGCTATTCAAGCAGGAGGGGACTAACATTTGGAGTAAAATTGTTGATGAAAGTCAGGAGCTATGAGAGCACTTACACAATATATACTATAGGGTATAGATTTAATTATTACCATCCCAGTTTAAGTGATAAATTCTATTCCCTTACTTAGTCATCTCTTCTATAACTTCCTCCTGTCCTATGATACCACAAAGAGAAACTATTATACATTCTCAACAAGAAGTCAGGAGTAAGCAAGTCCCACACAAGTGCTTAGGGACTTCCCCATGGGCATGACCATTCTCTTTTCATACATGATAATGTGATTAATAATAAAGATGGGAAAATTATACATTTGTGTAAGCAAAATGGGAAGATCTGCAGTAACTATTACTGGAAGCTCCTGAGGAACTAGAGAAGAGGACAATGTGAGAATCAATCATGAAAGGAGACCAGCCATGTATGTGTGAGCCTAAATAGGGAGATGCTCTGATGACAGAAATTATTTCAGTATGTCACTTCCTTACCATACTTGCCACTTTTTAGCTTCTTGTTTCATAATCACAAGAAATTCGTGTTGCAGGAACTACATATGGCTCATCATTTATCTCCTTGCATTCTGACTTCCTCTCCCTCAGAGTCTCATGGCCTACGCACCTTCTCCTTTAAGTCTTGGATCAAGTATCAATGCAGTGAGATTCTGCCCTGACCACTATATTTAAAATCCCATCCCTTACTTTGCCCTTATCTTACTTATGCCCCTATATAAGTAACCCTATCCCCTTACTTATTATGTATTGACTCTTTCTGCCTAATAAAATAGAAACATGAGAGAGCAGGATTGCGGTCTGCAGTCTTCCCCGCTGTTTCCCCAAAGCCTCCAATGGAGTCCTGCTCAGGTGGTGATGGAAGGATACACTAAGAAATAGCATTCTGGTGGATGTATGGAAGGAAGGAGGCTCCAAGCTTGACTGGCCCTCAGCCTCCTCTAAGGGGAAGGAAGAGGCTCCATTCCCATGGCATAAATATTCTATGTGAAAAGTAACCTTTAGTTTGCCATCAAGACTAGTTTCATAAAGGAAATATTTTAAATATACATATGGGAATTTCACTAGTGATTACTTTTATATCACTAATCCAAGAGAAACAACAGTGTTTGCCATCAGCTATCAATAAAAAAGGATATATTGATTTAATTACATTTTATATGAGTTTTTTAGTATCCTGAATCCCTCTTATTTCTGATTCAATACTGACTCACCAGCCCACATGCACAGATCCACTGTGCAAATTTCCTGTCACTGGTTGAGCATTCCATTACGAACTCAACCCATAAATCTCTCAGAAGAAATATTTCAGCAGCAGACACAGTCTTGCAAGCTTGGTCAGACCCTGGAATCTACTGGACATCCAGCATAGTTGGACCTTCAGAGCTGTAATGAACTATGAACAGCTGAAGCTATGCAAATGAATTCTAAAGTTACATTCCAATCTTGAGAGTTACACAAACCCTCCAGAGGGAGAAAGACAAAAAGCAGGAGAAAGTCAGACTCAATTTACATTATTTGGCAGAAAGTGCAACTGGACAAACAGCAGTTATTCTTAGGACTCTGTTCTGAGGAAATGAACAATATTTATGGCCTAATAAACCGTATGCTCCAAAATTGCAGCAGTCATAAGAGAGCTCAACAGAGCTGAAAATTAGGTGAAGAAGTAGGAAGTTGGGCATAAATGGAGCAAATTCAGTTTTTGCTGAGGGAAATGAGGGCCAACTTAGTATTCCCATTGTAGGCTGAATTTAGGTGGTCAAACTCTGTGAAATGCTTAAATCTGCAGCTTTATCTGCTCTAGGAACAGAATATATTTAACTCTAGAATCAAGCTTACCTGAGAACCACAAAGTCTCTGGAAGGATGGGGGGCCATGCTGTTCAACACGTACTGATAGATTTCTGTTTGCTTGTCCAGAGTTTCCACAACCTTCCACTGCACAAAATCCTCATCCCATAGGTGGCGCTCTCTTAGCACACGATTCAAAACCACTGACGGGGGTGCTTCCACCTCCACGGAAGCCTTCCATAACTTCAGTGGATTCCCGTCTCCCACCTTGGGAAAGATACCATCAAAAGCTGAACAAGTTAACTAGTTCCAACAAAAACCTACCACATTTCATTGGGTGTTCCAAAAAAAAAAAATCACTAATTATGAACCTTGAAAGAGTGATTCTGCATATCTGAGGTTTACCATTTCATAATGGTAATCCTAAAGATTAAAAAATAATAATAATGATCATAATAAAATAATAACCATTGATACACATTAACCTCTTTGCCAAGTGTCTTTCTAACCCATTTGATTTTTAAATAGCCCTCCTCTGACAGTGGTATTATTATTATGTCCATTATGCAACTGAAAAAACTGAGGCATAAAGAGGTGTGTGACTTGCCTAACATCACATAGCTAAGGGCCAGAGAGTGGATTGGGATCTAGTAGTCTGGCTTCACAGTTTGCATTCTGATTATGTGCAACATGATTGCCTCGCAGTCACTAGAAAGAGTCTTTGACATGTTCATGTGTGTGCCAAGCCTGTGGACAGTGGATGTTTTTAAAGCAAAATAATTTCTTGGTTGTTGGATGTAGTTCCTTTGGGGTAGTTTTTTCTTACCACCTCTGAGATTACCTTTTTGAAAGCAAGGTCTGTATTGTCTGTGCTGGAACACATAACCCATCCTTTAAACTTCTCTTTGGCTTCCTTCTGGAGGCCCTGGATGAGCTGGTCCAGGTAAGTGTGGAATGTGGCCCCACTTTCCTCCACCTGGGTCCCCAGGTCTTCCAGAGTTGGAGTATGGATCTCAGCCTCCACGTAAGAATTATGAAACTGGGCTACCATCTCATGCGGGACCTGAACCAATGGGTGCATGAAAGAGCAACAGATGCATGAGTTAAAGAAATGCTGAGACTAATAGAAAAAGCAAAGTCATTTAGTAAAAAAACCGTGTGTATCAGAATGGGCCAAGTGCTGTGGACCAGATGTTTTACTAAGATGAGTGGCAAAGCTGGTGGTAGGGGGTGGGGCTTCCTAAAGGCAGGAAACACAAATATGTTTCTGAGACTATATTTATTACTCAAAACATAGCAATGATTTCTCATTCAGTCTTTGCATTTTCCATAAATTTTCCCTTTAATGTATTTTTATTCAGTTTGGCAAAATGTGGGCTCAGGAAACTTAAAGCACAGACTTAAGGGAAACATCAACTATGACTTAGAAATGGCTTTACCTCTTTAGCATACTTTTCTCACTTGCAAATGCCAAATGTACCACAAAAAAGTATGCCTGAAGTCTAGTTCACTTTCTTCTTTAACATAGCTGTGGCTATATTCATAAGCTATTCTTGACTCTTAGTTAACAGGGATTGGTCAACATACACACACACACACACACACACACACACACACACACACACACCCCAGAAACACACACAGAGATGTTGAACCTAATCACGTCCTGAGGTAAAAAAATTAAAAAATAAATAAAAGAACAGCCCAGCTGGTGTGGCTCAGTGGTTGAGCATTGACCCATGCACCAAGAGGTCTTGGTTCGTTTCCCAGTCAGGGCACATGCCCTGGTTGCGGGCTTGAACCCCAGTAGACAGCAGGCAGCCAGTCTGTTTCTCTTGCATTGATATTTCTAGCTTTTTCTCTCTGAAATCAATAAAAACATATTTCTTAAAAAGAAACTAATTGTCTGGCTTGCCTTGAACCTGGTAACTGATGGTGACACAACTGTTCTCATGAAAACCGTCATCATGGTAACTCCAAATATTTAACTGTCAAGACTAAATTATATAGATACCTTCTCACATTTCTTGGATTCAAAGACCACAGCTATAGAGGGTACTATTGTCATTATAAACTCAGGAACAAACATATAAGCCATGAGTGTAGAAATTGTTCCAATGATCTCATCTAGTTCCAAGAGCTATAAGGAAGGAAGTTCAAGCCTTTCACTCACCTCAAAAAGTCTGTCACATTCCATGATCATGTGGGCAAGGCCCTGAGAGGCGGCCAGATTCTCACTGAGGTCCTTTTGATCTGGCTTCCCAGTGGCGTATTTCTTCTGTATGACCCTGTAAGTGAAGGGGACAGTCCTAAGCAGATCTCAATCCAAAGAGCTTTTCACAATAAAAGCTCATCCTTTTTCTTTTTCTTTTTCTTTTTCTTTTTCTTTTTCCAGGTGCTCTCCTGATCCCATACTTTCTCATTTCCAAACAAAAGCAATGACCACACATATTAGATGTTCTGAATCAGGCTAAAAGTCTGACAGTTCATAATGAAAAACCTTGGAAAAATACAAGGACAGGAATAACTGTTGGGGGAAAAATTAATCTATTTTTTTCCAAGTTTGAAACCACTTTGCCGCAAGCTGCCATGCCTGGGCCTTGAATCTAATCCTTTCCTTTTAAACTTAAAGATTGTAAAATACTACTTCATGTACTTTTCCCTCCTTCCCACTCACACACCCAGGTTTTCTAGGTCACAACAGACATTCTTCAATACTACTTTGACAATTCTATGAGCCTGAGCACACAAATTAGGTCCTTAAAACATTTTCTGGTTATAAATTGAGAGCTGACAAATCCTCAAGTTGAAATCCAATGTGAGAAGTTTTTGTTTGTTTGTTTTGTTTTTTTAATGAACTGTGGGTTTTATCTGTTTTACGATTCCTGTTGTTGCTGAGGAAAACCCACCTGGGGGAGCTTTCTTTCTTCAATAAATTGAGATGAAAGAGAGAGGGGGCCAGACACACAGCCAGGTTCTTGGGTGTCATCTGATTCTCTTCCACCAAGTTGGCAACGTCCTTGAGGAAGCACAGAAGCGTCTGCAGGACGTCCCTGCTCTCATCAGCCAGCAGCAGGATGGCAGCCTGCACTGCCTGCAGCCGCTGCTCTTCGGGGACATCTGTGGAAAAGTGGGTGCCAGGTCATCAAAGAAACAGCCACAGAAAGAGCCAGCTGGGAAAAAAGTGAGTAAGCTGAACCTTCCTGATGTGAAGACACACTCAGAGACATCATCATCAACCATGACAACAACTGCTAAGAAAGAAGTAGTTGCTTTGGCCTTACAGTTGGTAAGAGGCAGAGCTGGGATTGGAACCTCAGCATCCAACTTCAGAATCCAGTCTTCACAAGGAAGTAGCCCTCGCTTTTCATACTCTGCTCATCCTTTTTCAAACCATTTTTCTGTTCTGGTTGAAATAGGCAGTAAGCCAGAGCACTATCAGCCTGGCTTTCCCCTTGCCCATCCCCTCCCACCAGACAGCTTGTAAACCACTCTGGATGCCTGGGACTCAGTGGGGCATGGTTTGGAATCCACTGTGTTGCGGGATGGCAGCCTTGCCTTTCCTTGCCCTGAGTGGAGCAGCCAGGTGTGATGTCAACTTGGTGCAATTAACCATGAATGGTGGGATTGATTTGCTTGGCCCCCTGAACTGATGCCAGAAGGCCAGCCTGGCACATTTACTTCTTTCCTACAAGCCACCGGGGCTTGGTTCAGAGGAGGCACATGGCTTTATGTGGTGACTCAGGCCATCTGTTCTAATCTTGAAAGTAATGGAAATTGAGATTGTGTTTAGGGAAGAAGAACCAGGCTCACTAAAACTATGGGGAATGGATGGTCCCATTCCTCTTTAGGTTGGTCATTGTGGTGGTGGGGGTGGTAATGTAGGCATTGATCACACAGACTTAAATAGAAATTGGCCCCAATAATATGAAGTAAACTAAAAGGAAAAATCACAACAAATGGGTGCTAGGTGCTGCATTTTGCTGCCACTGGTTGTGTTTTTTTAGGCCTGACTCACTGCCCTTATTCTCTCATTCTGAAAGACACAGTCAATAATTCTCTTCAGTTAACATTGTTTCATTCTTAAAATACCAAGTTCTAGAACAGGTCTCTGCAGTAGGCTGCCTATGCTCAAACGGGTGGGTGGGGAGATGTGCTTGTGACAATCTTTAAGGTGTGGGAAGAAAATATTAGAATTTTCAGTGGCGTTTATGTCTCCTCTCATGGATATGTAACATAATATGCATAGTATGGCATAGTATATCATAATATATTTATATTATTAAAAATAAGTACACATGCTCAGATATTTACTATTGGTAGAGTTGCATGAAAAACAATGTGGCGCCTGCTGCTCTAGAGGGGCTGTAATGTGACCTTATGACCAGGTCCTGGCCATCTCCATCGTCATAGTTTCCAGAGCTGGGCACACTCCTGCCTCCAGTCTGCCAGCAAATCCAAATGTCTGGAATAGCCTGACCATGCATTCAGCATTCTGTAACCCATCCTCACACCCACCACATCCACAGCAGCAGATGGGAGACCTGGGTTTAGTAGAGAAGAGTCATTTTTTTTCTAATTATAGCAAATCTTTTTCTTTTCTCTTGGTTGTGATGAAACAGAAACAGGTACTACTAATAACTACAAGCATGTCATTGACGTGTTATAAATTCAGCTTGAGCCACTGAACTGCTCTTTTAAAAAATATACTTTTTATTGTTGATAGCTTTAACCCCCTCCTCGCAGCCCCTCTCCATCCTCCTCCCCAGGTCTTCACTACCCTATTGCCCATGTCCATGAGCTGTGCATATAAGTATATACATTCTTGGATTTATCTCTTCTCGTCCCCTCCACCCCACATTGAGGTATGCCAGGCTGTTCCATGCCTCCATGCTTCAGGTCTTATTTTGTTGGTCAATACATTTTGTTCATTAGATTCCACAAATCAGTGAGATTATGTTGTACTTGTCTTATTTCACTTAGCATAATACTTTCCAGGTCCTTCCATGCTGTCTCAAAGGGTAAGAGATCCCTCTTTTTTACAGTTGCATAATATTCCATAGAGTAAATGTCCCACAGCTTTTTATCCATTCATCTACTGATGGGCACTTGGTCTGTTTCCATATCTTAGCTATTATAAATAATGCTGCTATGAACATAGGGGTGCATATTTTATTTCTTATTGGTGTTTTGGGGGTTTTAGGATATATTCCCAGAAGTGGGATCACTGGGTCAAATGGAAGTTCTATTTTTAATTTTTTGAGGAAACTCCATACTGTTTTCCATAGTGGCTGTACCAGTCTGCATTCTCACCAGGAGTGAACTAGTGTTTCCTTTTCCACATCCTCACCAGCACTTGATGTTTGTTGATTTTTGTATGATAGCCATTCTGACAGGTGTGAGGTGATATCTCATTGTGGTTTTAATTTGTATTTCTCTGATGGTTAGTGACTTTGAGCATTTTTTCATGTCTCTTGGCCATTTGTATGTCCTCTTTGGAGAAATGTCTATTCAGGTCTTCTGCCCATTTTTTTAATTGGATCGTTAGTCTTCCTTTTGTTAAGTTGTATGAATGTCTTATATATTTTGGAAATTAACCCCCTATCAGATGTAACAGTGGCAAATATGTTCTCCCAGAAAATGGGCTCTGTTTACATTTTGTTGATAGTATTTTTGCTATGCAGAAGTTTTTGATTTTGATGTTATCCCAGTTGTTTATTTTTTCCTGATTTTTCCTTGCCTCAGGAGATGTATATTTTCCTGCCTATGGTTTCTTCTAGGATTTTTATGGTTTCACGACTTACATTTGTCTTTTATTCCCATTTTGAGTTTACTTTTGTGTCTGGTGTAAGATGGTGGTCTAGTTTCATTTTTTTTGCATGTATCTGCCCAATTTTCCCAACACCATTTATTGAAGAGACTGTCTTGACTCCGTTGTATGCTCTTGCCTCCTTCGTCAAATATTAATTGAGAATAATGGTTTGGGTGGATTTCCTGGCTCTCTGTTCTATTCCATTGATCTATATGCCTGTTATTGTGCCAGTACCAGGATTTTTGGAGTAGAATGGCTTTGCAGTATAACTTGATATCTGGTATTGTGATCCCTCCAACTTTGTTTTTCTTTCTCAAGTTTGCTGTGGCTATTTGGGATCTTTTTTGGTTCCATATAAATTTTTGCAGTATTTCTTTTAGATCTGTGAAATATGCCATTGATATTTTAATAGGGGTTTCATTGAATCTGTAGATAGCTTTGGGTACAATAGACATTTCCATAATGTTAATTCTACCAGTCCATGAACACGGTATATTCTTCCACTTGCTTATATCTTCCTCGACCACTTTTTTTCAAAGTCCAAAGTCCTTACCTCCTTTGTTAAGTTTATTCCTTAGTATCTTAAATTTTTGTCACAATGGTAAGTGGAATTGTTTTTTTAGATTCTCTTTCTGAGAATTCATTATTGGTGTATAAAAATGCCCTTGATTTCTGGTTTTTAATTTTGTATTCTGCTACATTGTCAAATTCATTTATTAAATCTAATAGATTATTGGTGGGGTCTTTAGTGTGTTTTTTTTTAATGTACAATATCATGCCATCTGCAAATAATGAGAGTTTTACTTCCTCCTTGCTAATTTGGGTACCATTTACCTCTTCTTCTTGTCTGATTGCTGTGGCTAGGACTTCCAGTACAATGGTTGAATAACAGTGGTGAAAGTAGACATCCCTGTCTTGTCTTGTTCTTAGGGAACAAGTGGAGGGTATGATCCCTCTATTCCCACTTTGCTAAGAGATTTTATTAAAACAGAGTGTTGGATTGTATGGAATGCTTTTTCTCCCTCAATGATATGATTATGTGATTTTTGTCTTCTACTTTTTTTATGTGATGTATCACGTTTATTGATTTGCAAATATTTTTCTTATGAGGAACTGTATTTTTTTGTTTGTTTTATTGCTTAAAGTATTACAAAGAGTATTACATATGTCTCCTTTTTTTCCCCTTGACCTTCCCCCGGCCTTCCCTACCCTCCATTTTCTTGTGTCCATTGGTTATGCTTATATGCATGCATACAAGTCCTTCGGTTGATCTCTTACCACCACCACCCCAACCCTCCCCGGCCTTCCCGCTGTAGTTTGACAGTTTGTTCGATGCTGCTCTGCCTCTGTATGTATTTTTGTTCATCAGTGTATAATAGTCTTTATTATCCACAAATGAATGAGATCACGTGGTATTTTTCTTTCATTGACTGGCTTATTTCACTTAGCATAATGCTCTCCAGTTCCATCCATGCGGTTGCAAATGGTAAGAATTCCTTCTTTTCCACAGCAGCATAGTATTCCATTGTGTAGATGTACCATAGTTTTCTAATTCATTCATCTGCTGATGGGCACTTAGGCTGTTTCCAAATCTTAAATATGGTAAATTGTGCTGCTATGATCATAGGGATGCATAGATCCTTTTTGATTGGTGTTTCTGGTTTCTTGGGATATATTCCTAGAAGTGGGATCACTAGGTCAAATGGGAGTTCCATTTTTAACTTTTTGAGAAAACTCCATATTGTCTTCCATAGCGGCTGCACCAGTCTGCATTCCCACCAGTAGTGCAGGAGGGTTCCTTTTTTTCCGCATCCTCTCCAGCATTTGTCGTTTGTTGATTTGTTGATGATAGCCATTCTGACAGGTGTGAGATGGTATCTCATTGTTGTTATGATTTGCATCTCTCAGATGATTAGTGACTTTGAGCATGTTTTCATATGTCTCTTGGCTTTCTGAATGTCCTCTTTTGAAAAGTGTCTACTTACGTCCTTTGCCCATTTTTTGATTGTATTATTCATCTTCCTTTTGTTAAGTTGTATGAGTTCCCTATGAATGTTGGAGATTAAACCCTTATTGGTGATAACATTGGCAAATATGTTCTCCCATGAAGTGGGCTTCCTTGTTGTCTTGTTGATGGTGTCTTTTGCCATGCAGAAGCTTTTTTATTTTGATGTAGTCCCATTTATTTTATCCTTAGTCTCCATTGCCCTAGGAGCTGTACCAGTAAAAATATTGCTATGACATATTTCTGCAATTTTGCTGCCTATGGAGTCTTGTAGGGTTTTTATGGTTTCCCATCTTACATTTA